TACAGCTCAACCCGTAAACCAACAAACGGACCCTTCCTTTACCCTGTTCCCTCTTACCAAGAGAGAAATTCGAATTCTCATTATTAACGCATGAAATTAATGTTCTAACCAATTGAACTATCTTGGCTTTTTCTAAAGTTATAATTTAAGTAAATATTTATATATTTCTCTAAGGCCAGAATGATTTGAACACTCATCTAAGCTGTCATGAGCAGCTGGCTTTGCCAATTAAGCTATAGCCTTAAAATTTATTTTTTTGTTTTTTTTACCTTTTAATCATTTATTATTAACTATAATCAATTTAGAAAAAACACAAAAAATTTATGCGCCTTTAAGATGACTCGAACACCTAACCCAAATATTAACAGTATTTTGCTCTACCTTTGAGCTATAAAGGCTTTTAGATCTTTTTAATAATTATTTTAGGAATAAGGAAGAATCGAACTTCTAATTGTTGATCTGCAATCAAAATGCAAACCTTTTGCAGCTTATTCCTTAAGAAGTGGACAAGACTTGAACCTGTATGAATGTGTCCGTAGCACAACGTTCTACCAATTAAACTACCACTTCTATTTTTATTAAAAGGTCTTTTAATAAAATTTTTTATGTTGGAGCGATTCGAACACTCAATAGTAAATACCAAAAATTTATGACTTACCTATTAGTCGACAACATATCATATAGGTGACAAGACTTGAACTTGTAAAGTAAAAACTACTCCGTCCTAAGCGGAACCTGGTTACCAAATTTCAGCACACCTATTATGCACGCTCGAGGTAAGACTTGAACTTACAGCCTAAACATCTTCAGTGTTCCGCTCTACCAAATTGAGCTTCTCGAGCCTTTCCTCCCGCGTACCGCGGAATATTATATATTTTGGAGATATTAGGACTTGAGCCTAAAATTACGAAGTGCAAGTTCGTTGTTTTACCAGTTAAACTATATCCCCTTTATCCGAGAAACGACTTGAACGTTTACGATATTTATCAATAAATCTTAAGATTATCCTGTCTACCAATTCCAGCACTCGGATTTTAATTAATCATTTAAATACAAATAAACTAAATATTAATTAGCTAAACTATTTGCTCAATTTATGCTTAAATAGAATAAAAATTTATAAAATTTTTAAGACCTATGGGACTTGAACCCATATTATAACGATTAAAAGTCGCATGTTTTACCTTTAAACTAAAGTCTCTTTTTAGTTTAAAAAACTAAAAAAAAAAAAAAGATGTTATTAAACCGGTATTTTTAGTTTAATAACGGTTTTTGGAGGATAAAATATCCTCTTTCTTTTTTAAGGATAATAATTCCCGTGCAATTTCCATTACACGAACCATATTTCGACTTAACACCAATTGAGGTCACACATACGAAAATTACAAACTAAATAATATACTTCTAATTAAGTACAGTAAACATCAATTTGCAACCAAACTTATTGCGCATACCCCTTTCAGCGCCTGACGAGTAGTTAGTACCCATCTGAGATAAAATTCACCGTGACGTAATGATTCACGATTACTAGTAATTCCATATTCATGTAGTCGAGTTTCAGACTACAATTCACGAATAGTTATGTCCAAATTTGAGGATTAGCTCCATTTCACAATATCGCTTCCTTTTGTTGAGGCATATGTGGCACGTCTATAGCCCACACTCATTAAGGCCATGATGACTTGTCTTGATCCCGTTTATCTCATCCAATATAGCGGTGAACTGTTTTATGTAGACACTTAGGTCTTATATAAACAAGGGTTTTCGTTAATTAATGGAACTAACCAAAATCTCACGACATTAACTGAAGACAGCCGTGCAGCGCTTGTAAAAATATTCAAGAGGTGGTAAGGTTATTCGCGGACCATCGAATTAAATAACATACTTCACTACTGGTTTCAGAAACGGTCTAATGATTTCAATTTCGGCGTTGCCGCTTTACTCATGAGGTGGAATGCTTACACTTTCATTTATAGACTAGTACCTAGTCTATGGCACTCATAATTTTCTCCAAGGACTACTAGGGTATCTAATCCTTCTCGCTCCCCAAGGCTTCGTCCCTGAACGTCAGTTTCTACATAGAAGATTGCCTTCGCCGACATCCGTCCTACCTGTATCAATGCATACCATTGCTCCTCAGGTAATTCGCCTCTTCACACATAAAACTCTAGGAAATTAGTCCCTACTATGGCTTGATTTCCCGTCTAGGTACCCTTTAAACCTGTTAAAGATGAATAACACTTGTCTTCTACGTATTACCGCGACTGCTGGCACGTAATTTGGTCAAGACTTATAGATAAAATATAGTCACTATCAGTATTTTATCTAGAACTTTATACGACTTATTCGTTTTTCGTTCCCCCAAATTGCTGGTTCAGTCATTAGACCATTGACCAATATTCCCCACTGCTGTACGTTACGCATTGGGTTTTTTTCAGACCCAATGTGGTCGATCGACCTCTCAGTCACGACTACCGGAACCCGAGCTAGATTTAACTATTACTCTTCCAGAATAAACTAACATCTCAAAGCGAAACTTTCTATTTCTTTATTATTTATAAGGGATCTTTTCTTCCTTACTTCAAGGCAGCTAGATTATTTTTACTCACCTGTACACCACTACTAACTATATTATATAAAATATATAATTAAATTAGTCGTTCGATTAGCATGTGTCAAGCATTTGGACAGCGTTCACTCAGAGCCATCATCAAACTCAATTTTCGTAGTATTTTGTCCACTACTGATAATACTTTCTTATTTTACTTTATTAAATTTTTAACTTATATAATTTAATATTTATTCAAATACCTTATCAGTAAGCTATTTAGTCTCATTTTCTGCAAACAAAGGGTCTTACGGTAAAATTGTCAAATTTGTAATTTTTTTTTCGATATAGTTTACTTTAGACTATTACGCATGAATAGATTATATTTTTTTCTATTATCTTGTGTTTATAGGTGTTATGTTATTTTTTATAAATTTGCGGTAATATTTCTATTTTTTATAAAAATTTTAAATAAAAATAATTCTTTAAAAATAAAATTACTTTTTTAATTATTGTTTGTGTGTTACAGCTAAATCTATTAAACTATTTTCTAATAAAGTTATAAAAGGAACAATAATTAAAAAATGAGCAAAATATAAAGCAGTAGATATTTGCCCAAATTCAATAAAAGGTGATTCAACATGTTTTGCTCCTAATTGCATTAATATTAAAAAATTAGCTACAAATACAAAGAACGCTATTTTACTTAAAGGTCTGAATTGTATTCCTCTTAGATTAGATAGGTCAACAAAAGGCATTATCAGTAAGGCTAAAATAGCAGAAAACATTGCTATAACACCTAATAATTTATTAGGTATAGATCTTAATATTGCATAAAAAGGTAAAAGATATCATTCTGGTACGATTGCAGGTGGTGTTTGCATAGGATTAGCCATTACATAATTTTCACTATCACCTAACATATTAGGCATGAAAAATACGAAAATTGATAAAACTATAAAAAATATAAATATTGTTATTAAATCTTTAAAGATAAAATAGGGTGCAAATGGTAAACGGTCATAATTTCCTGATATTCCTAATGGGTTTCCTGAACCACTTGAATCATGTAAAGTTATTAAGTGCATTAATGCTAATGCAGCTAATATAAAAGGTAATACAAAATGTAAAGCATAAAATCTATTTAATGTAGCATTGTTAACACTAAACCCTCCTCAAATGAACTCTACTATATCTTGTCCTACTCAAGGGATAGCACTCATTAAATTAGTAATAACTGTTGCACCTCACAAGCTCATTTGTCCATATGGAAGAACATATCCCAAAAATGCGGTAGCCATCATTAATATGAATAATACTGTTCCTATTGTAAAAGTTAAGGTTCTTGGTGCTTTATATGACCCATAGTATAGATTTCTACCTATATGTAGATAAACTAAAAAGAAAAAAGCGGAAGCTGTATTAGAATGTAGATAACGTATTAATCAACCATTATTTACGTCTCTCATTATATGTTCTACAGAATCGAAGGCTCCCAATACAGTAGGTGTATAATGCATACCTAATGTTACACCAGTTATTATTTGTATAATTAAACATAACGCTAATAATGAACCAAAATTTCATAAATAACTAAGATTTGAAGGTTGTGGTGAATCTATTACGTATGAATTAACCAATTTTAGTAAAGGATGACTTTTTAAATTTCTCATTTTATTTATAGTATTAATTAGGTTATTATTTATTTTTTTTTATCAATATTTTTTATATGTGTTTTAAATTAATTTTATCGTACAGAATCAAAAAAGTTAGGTAAATAAAAGGTAAGATTATTAACACGAGATACAAGTGGAATATTTTTATAGTTTTATTCTTTATTTTCTATATTAACTATATAAATAATTGTTATATTTAACTATACCGTATATGTATTCGTGTATAAAAAAACATATATCTTATTATTAAAAGAATTTTTTGTGGTAATTTTTTTACCTATTAATATAAATTTTTGCAGATATAACATGCTTTTATGTAACGTACAAATATAGGAAACAATCATATTCGTCGGGGCACTCAGATTTGAACTGAGAAACTTCTCGACCCAAACAAGACACCTAACCACCCGGCACTACCCCGTTATTACAGAGAATATCCGATTCGAACGGATGTGATTATGTAAACCAAATAAGTTTCAAGCTTATCACCTTAAACCACTCAGTCAATTCTCTTAAACAGCTGATTCTTCCAAGACTTGAACTTGAATAACATCCTTATCAAGAACGCACTTTACCTATTAAGTTAAAGAACCTAAATATTTGACAAGAGCACTCAGACTTGAACTGAGAACTTGAAGTTTGAAGCTTCTCATTTTACCAATTTAACTATACTCTTTAACTTTTCGGAAAAGAGGCGACTCGAACGCCCAGGTGTGAAACACAATATTTAGCAAATATCTCGCCTTACCAATGGCAACTTTCCCTTTTTATATATACGAGTTAGGTCGGCTTCGATCCGACATGATTTTCCTCGACAAGGAAAGATTTTACCAATTAAACTACTAACTCTGTGGCCAGTCGAAATCGAATCGACACACTTCGTTTGGAAGACGAACAGTCTACCATTAACTTATGGCCACTTTTAAATAAAAATTAAGTAATCTTATATTATTTATTAGGTTAAATTTTACATTTTTGATTTTTATTTAAATAATTTTTGGTTATATTTAAGCGGCTTCTTGTTAAATAGCATCTCACTAAATAAAGCAAAATATATAAAATTGTTCGTTCTTTTACTTTTGTAAAATTTTTATTTTCTGTTAAAAAAAAAAATTATTTTTTTGTTATAATAATATAAACATATATTTAATTTGCTATTGACTTTCCTAAGTAATTAATACTTCATGCTATATATGTAACACAAAAAATTATTATTAATATATTAATGTAATTCTAAACCGTCTTTTATATAAGAAGAAGATAATACCACAAAAACTTGTGCTTGGATAAAAGCTATACCTATTTCTAATCCAGAAAAGGCTATTATAAATAATAAAGGTATTAAACCTAAGAAGAAATAAATTAATCCTTTGCTTATAATATTATAAGTGAATCCTGATAAAATATTTAATAACATATGACCACTTAAAATATTTGCGGCTAATCTTAAACCTAATGATACATTTCTAGATAAATAAGATATGAATTCGATTAAAACTAGTAAAGGTAATAAACCTAAAGGACAACCAGATGGTACTAATAAAGAAAAAAATTTAAAAGCATGTATTTGGAATCCTAAAATTGTTGCACCTATAACTATTGTAAAACTAATAGAAAACGTTAAGATAAAATGAGATGTAGGCGCAAAACTATAAGGAACCATACCTACTAAATTATTTATTAATATATATATAAATAACGCACTTATTAAAGGAAAAAACATTTGTCCTTTGTTTGCATTTATTTGGTTTGTTACTATACTGTAGACAGTTGCGTAAATAGATTCCATTGATAATGATCAATGGTTTGGAGTAGTTATTTCGTAATTTGTTGCTAAGTTATACAACATAAATATAATAAAAGTTGTTATAATTAAATACAAACCTATGTTTGTTAAAGAGATTTGTATGTTACCTAATAAATCAGCTTTCAAACTAAAAAGATTTCTTATTGTAAATTGGTCTAAAGGACTGCTAGTTCAGATTGGTAATGTGTTCATTTCTTTTTTTTTAGTGTATCATTTTATTTTTTTTACTGATCTATATCAAAAAATATAAATTATAAGTATGAAATACCAAACTACATTAGTACGTAGAGCTCTCCCCATTTTAACTATCTCGCTTTATGTTATAACGAGTATATGTTTCTAGCTTGAGCCTTTTTGTCTCTCACTTTCAATAAAACTTTCTTATTTTTAATTTAATAAATTTTTATTGAAAATTTATTAAATTGCTATTTAATATAAATTGTTTGTTTTCAGGTTTTTAATTGTAAATTACTCATCTGTCTACTATCTATTTTTAAGGCATTTTTACCTAATTCAAAAACAAAACCTAATGTTAATACTAAAAAAAATACTAACATTACTATTAAACCATAAATCCCATTAGTATAAGCACTCACTACATAAGGATACACTAATAAGATCTCTAAATCAAATAGTAAAAATAGAAGGGCAAAAATGAAAAATGATATACTAAACTGAGTTCTATTTTGTCCTAAGAAAGAATGAAATCCGCATTCAAATGCACTGTTTTTCTCTTGATAAGGATTGTGTGGAGATAATAATATATTAATTCCTAACAATATAAAAGCTAATATCGGTATAAAAATAAAAAAAAAGTTAAACTTGTCATGTTATATATGTTATATTTTTTAAGTGACTTGTTGGTTAATGTTTCTACTTGAAATATTTAGTGTTTTTCATTGTATGTTTTTCAATAAAATTTAAACAATAAAAAAATTAGTTGGTACTATATGAAGACCCAAAACAATACATGGCATGATTACTATGAATGCAATAATAATTGGTAATAAGACTGTTCAACAATATGACATAAGTTGATCAAACCGTATTCTAGGGAAAGAAGCTCTTACTCATATAAATGTAAAGATCATTAAACAAGTTTTTAAACCTAAAGTAAGACTAGTAATTAGTCCCTCTAAAGATATATTTAAAATATTAATATCCATATAAGTATTTGTCCCAAAAAAATTAATTCAATTCATAACAAAATCCAATGAAATTATATTTAAATAACCTCCTAAGAATAAACTAGAAGTGATAATACAAATTAACACAATACTAGCATATTCAGCTAAAAAGAAAAATACAAATATAGCTGCAGAATGTTCTGTCATGAACCCTGAAACTAATTCTGACTCTGCTTCTGCTAGATCAAAAGGTGCTCTATTTGTTTCTGCTATCGCTCCTATAAAAAATATTATAAAAACAGGTAGTAATGGAATTAAAAAATAAATTACTCTTTGTGCTTCTACATTACCTGTTAAATTTAAATTTCCTGATAACAAAAGTACTAATAAAATAGCGGAACTTAAAATTAGTTCATAACTTATTAATTGTGCAGTACTTCTCAGTGATCCAAGAAAAGCATATTTTGAATTAGCAGATCAACCTGCTAATAAAATTCCATAAGTTGAAAGAGATGATACAGCTAGCATATATAATATACCTAAAGGTAAATCTCCTATAGTTAAACCTGGTCCGTATGGTATTACTGCATAACCTAATAGTGAAAAGATTAAGGTAATTAAAGGACCTAAAAAGAATAAAATTAAATTAGCTTGAGTTGGTGATACACATTCTTTCAACAAAAGTTTTAAAGCATCTGCAAAAGCTTGTAATAAACCATAATATCCCACTATATTTGGCCCTAATCTTCTTTGCATACTAGCCATAGTTTTTCTTTCAGCTACGGTTGTAAAAGCTACAACTAATAAAGCCGGAACTACTACCAAAACGACTTCAATTATTGATATTAAGGTTTGCATATTTACATTTATTAAAATTTAATTAAATTTTAATATTTTTTATTCTATTAAATTAATTAATATAAAAAGATAACTTTGTTATTCTTTAATTTTTTTATATAACGTCATTCTTGGTTTGTTTTACCAAATTTAGCAAAAAAACTAATTAAATTATAAGCTATTTATGTGTAAACGTGTTTTAAACAAACGCACAAATCTAGGTAATAAATACTTAGAAAAGATATATATTATTATAGTTAATAAGGCAAAATTAAATAATACTTGGTTTACGAAAAAAAAAGGTATAAGTTGTGGCATATTTTTATATAAAATTTTTATAAAATCATTGTCTTTATATCATTAAAAAAATAGAGTTTACTTAGAAACTTTATAAACTATTAAACCTAAAATAAGGTATGATTATCGTTAAATTATAATATTTATTTTCAGGTTAAATTTAAGAACCTCAATAATATACAGATACGTATAAAAATAATCATACTACGTCAACAAAATGTCAGTATAAAATGGCAGATTCAAGACCTAAATGATGATTTTCAGTTAGATGATATGCTAACAAACGTCATAATCCTACAGCTAAAAAAGCCGTACCAATTATCACATGTAGACCATGAAATCCTGTTCCAAAATAAAAACAAGATGAATATGTTCCATCTGAAATAGTAAATGAAGAAACAGTGTATTCCACAAATTGAAAGGCGGTAAAAATAACAGCTAAAATAATAGTATATAATAGACCATAAAGTGCCCCACTTCTATTGTTTTGTATTAGAGAATGATGACAGTAAGTTACAGTAACACCAGAAGACAATAATATTACAGTGTTTAACAAAGGTAATTCAAAAGGATTAATAGATTCTATACCTAAAGGGGGTCATTTAGCTCCTAATTCCACTGTAGGTGATAAGGCACTGTGGAAAAATGATCAGAATATGGCTAAAAAAAATAATGCTTCAGATACTATGAATAAAGCAACACCCATATTTATTCCTCTTTGAACAGCTAAAGTGTGGTTTCCTAAGTAAGTTGCTTCGTTTATTACATCTCTGAATCATAAACCCATTGCATATATTAAACTTATTATTCCTGCAAATAAGATGTTTAATGCTTTAGAAAAACTATGAAAAGTTAATACCGCACTTAAAGTTACGGTGAATAAGGTTGCACTTGTATACAAAGGTCAAGGGCTAGGTGATACAAGATGGAAGGGATGAGCTTGAAAATTACTTCTTGATAAGTTTGTCATCTTTTTTATCATTATTGTTTTATTTAAATTTAATACCCATTTTTTATAAATTGCATTTTTATTTTTTATTAATTTTTTAATTTAAAAATTACTGTATTAAATATTATTTGCAGAGTGATTTATTAAAGAAAGAAGATCACACAGATTTAATATTTCATTAGGTGTTAAAATAAAAAATACTATGGCTAAATTTAAAATTCCTAATGTAACAGAAAAAATATTTGATAAGGAAATTTCTACATAAATATAAGATTTTTTGTATTCTGGATTTTCAAAATATATCGTTTTTATAACACTTAAATAATAAACCGCACCTATAACACTAGCTAGTACTGCTACTAAAACCAATAAAATTTTTCCATTATCTAGTGCACTAGATAAAACCATTAATTTTCCAAAAAAACCAACTAAAGGAGGTAATCCTATGAATGAAAACATAGTTATAACTAGACCAAGTGATAACGCAGGATTAATTGTAAAATATCCTTTTAATTGATTTATTAATTGTATAGGACTGTTATTTTTTTCCGATAAATTGTTGAACTCTACTGTATTTGTATAATATAAATATAAATTAAAGCCCATAGCTATTACTAACATGAAAGCGTTTAAATTTGTTAATATATATTGTATAATATAAAATAAAAATGCTTGATATGATTCTAAGGTATGTACTATTAAAGCAAGTAAAATAAAACCTATATGGCTTATAGTACTGTAAGCCAACAATCTTTTTATTCTTACTTGAGTTAAACCTAATATAGTTCCTATTACTAATGAAAAAAAACAACTCATTGATAAACTAGTAGTTCAAGAATAAAATTGGGTAGTTGAATGTAGTAAAGAACTAGTATAATGCACTAATTCTAAAAACAAGATTAAGATAGCAACTTTACCTAAAATTGCTATAAATGTTGTAACTATCGTTGGGACACCATCATATACATCTGGTGATCATCAATGGAACGGTGCTGCCCCTATTTTAAATAGTAAACCTACGGATATCAATAATAAACTATAAAAGAAATATGTATGATTATATCAGGTTGAGTAATATGCGTATTTTTCAGAGTCAGATATTATAGAATAAATTCCGTCTAAATTAGTTAAACCAGAATTTGCGTATATTAGAGCAATACCTAACAATATAAAACATGAAGAAAGACCTCCTAATAAGAAATAAGTTAAGGCAGAACCTGTTGAAGATTCAGAATTTCTATGTAAAGAAGATATTATATATAAACTAAAACTTTGTAATTCTATACACAAATAAATAGAAGCTAAATCTGCACTAGATATTAATAAAGCTGCTCCGCTTATTACAAATAAAATAATTAAAGCGTACTCTATTATAGTAAATTGTTCAGATACTTTATTAATTATGCTCACATATTGTTTTACATTACTAGATAATGTATTTAACATGGATACAGAATCCCCTATATATTTTTTTCTAGGATAAAACGCCGTCATAAGTAAAATTAATAAACTAACTATCAAAATAAATATTTGAAAGCATTGAACTATAGGAGTTATATTAAATAATCCTCCATATAAACCTATACCTTTTTCCAAGTAAGTTATATGAAAACTAGTTAATGCAGATAATAAACTGTAAAAAATTATAATTAGCCCTACACGGCTATATAAAATAGATGTATCGGGTCTAATACTTAATCCATTTGAAAATAATAAAAGTGAAAGAAATAATAAAATCATTTTTTTTTTTAGGTTTTACTATAGAAAATTTTGTACTTAATTTTTTTATACACGAGATAAGTTATTACTTATATTAACTAATGGGTTTTAAATAAATAACATAATCAGTAAATTTTATACTCTTATTATAATAAATTATTACTAATAGACCTGAAATTAACTAAATTCTATATCATTAGTATAAGATTAATCTACTGATATTTAGATTAACCACCTATTTGATCGTATAATCAAAATAAGAATTTACCTAAATTTACTGATTGTATAGCAATTGGCATTGAACTGTGTAAAATACCACAGATTTCTGAACATTGACCAAAATATGTTCCTTCTCTGTTTAAATATACAGAAGATTGATTTAATCTACCGGGATACGCATCACATTTTATTCCTAAAGAAGGACATGCATATGAATGTATAACGTCTGCACCTCCAACTATAAATCTAGTATGTGTTAATTCTGGTATGATAACTCTATTATCTACTTCTAATATTCTAAGTTTACCTATTTCAAGATCACTTTCTGGCACTATATAAGAGTCAAATTCCACAAATTCTTCATCATTATTTGTAAAATCTGGATATTGGTAACTTCAGTATCATTGGTGACCTTCACCGTATATAACTAATGAAGGATCTATTACTTCATCCATAAGATACAATAATTTAAATGAAGGGAAAGCTATTAAAACTAATATTAAAGCAGGTGTAATAGTTCAAATTAATTCAACTAATGTACCATGATTTATATATTTATTAGATATTTTTGCTTTTCTATAATTTAAGACTATAGAAAGCATAATTCAACTTACGGCAAATAAAATTATCGCTAAATAAAACATAATATTATTATGTAATTCTTCTAAACCTTCCATTTGAGGTGTAGCATTATCTTGGAAAAACAACCCTCAAGGTTCGGCACAATCATTAAATGTAAAATTGGCAAAATTTAAATTGTTAAGCATAGATTGAAACATTTTATTTTCTTTTACAAGATTTATTTATAATACAAAAAAAATAGGCTGATATATCATAAATATAATTAAACACAAATTGATATAAATTAAATATATTAGCTTAATTTTTATCTAGTTGTTGGATTAGTTTTTTATTTTTTATATCTATAAAAAATAAAAAAAGGATTAAAAAAAATTAGTTAATAACTAATTTTTATATTGCACTTTGTAAAGGAAGACTTACAAAGGCGTGTGGTTTTGGTGGGCTATTTAAAGCTCATTCTATTGAACTATATGTTCTGTTAAATAATGTTTGGAATAAATCACTAAAGAACTGTGGTGTTAATCACGGATATCTAGATGTAGCATTACCTTCTACTAATTGTACATATACGATATATAAGAATAATACAGTAGCCACTACACTAATGATTGAACCAAAACTACTTACATAATTTCAACCCGCGTATGCATCAGGATAATCGCTTATTCTTCTAGGCATACCTTGTAAACCTAAAAAGTGTTGAGGGAAGAAAGTTACATTTACACCAATAAACATTATTAAAAAATGTACTTTACCTAACATAATATTGTAAGATAATCCAGTTATTTTTGGTATTCAGAAGTATCATGCACTAAATAAGGCAAAGACAGCTCCCATACTTAACACATAATGGAAATGAGCTACAACGTAATATGTATCGTGGAAAGCAATATCTAATGAAGCGTTGGCTAAAACAACACCACTTAAACCTCCGATAGTAAACATAACTACAAAACCTAATGCAAATAACATAGATGGTGTTAAATGTAATGATCCTCCATATGTTGTAGCTAATCAACTGAATATTTTAATACCAGTTGGCACTGCAATTATTAAAGTTGCAGCTGTAAAATATGCTCTTGTATCCACATCTAAACCAACTGTGTACATATGATGTGATCAAACTACAAAACCTAAAACTCCAATAGACATCATTGCGTAAACCATTCCTAAATAACCGAATACATTTTTGTTAGAACTTGCTGAAATTGTTGTACTAATTATACCAAAACCTGGTATAATCAGAATATAAACTTCAGGGTGTCCAAAAAATCAGAAAAGATGTTGGTATAATATAGGATCACCTCCTCCGGCTACTTCAAAGAATGAAGTATTAAAATTACGATCAGTTAAAACCATTGTAATTGCACCAGCAAGTACTGGTAAAGATAATAATAATAATACTGCCGTAATAACTACCGCTCATCCAAACAATGCTAATTTATGAAGTCTTATACCTGGGCTTCTCATGTTTAATATTGTTGTAATGAAATTCATAGCTCCTAATAAACTACTTACTCCTGATAGATGTAAAGCAAATATTGCTAAATCTACACTCGGACCACTATGACTTTGTAATCCTGATAAAGGAGGGTATAATGTTCATCCTGTTCCTGCTCCATTTTCTATCATACCAGCAAATATAAATAGTAAAAAACTAGGTATTAATAATCAGAAACTTATATTATTTAGTCTAGGGAACGCCATATCAGGTCCTCCTACTAATAAAGGTAATAAAAAATTACCAAATCCTCCGATTAATGCTGGCATCACCATAAAGAATATCATCACTATAGCATGTGCAGTTATTATACTATTATATAATTGATTATCCGCTATATATTGAACACCTGGTCCAGATAATTCTAATCTTATTAATAAAGAAAAAGATGTTCCGGCTAAACCTGCAAATAATGCAAAGATTAAATAAAGAGTTCCTATATCTTTCGCATTACTTGATAAAAATCAACGCTCTTTTCATTCTGTTATACCAGTTCAACTGAAGCTTGAACTAGCTTTCGCATCTTCTGTTATCGTTGAATAATTTTTTTTATCTTCCGCATTAAATGGTGTAAGGTTAGAAACCATATGTATTTTTTCGTGAGACCTATCCATTTATTTATTAGTTTTTTAATTATTATAACCAGACGAAGTTATATCTTTTTTTTTTTAATATTTTTTTATAGAAAATTGTTATTTTTAGGCTTTAATTATTTTTTTTTTAAACGTCATTATTGCTAAGGTGTACCTTTTAAAGTAGATATATTCAGTTTAAACTTATTTTATCTTTTACTTTATTATTTCTTAATCAAGATATAAATCTGATCGCCTAATATTATTTCGTCAGATCAACAAATCTGTTTCGAATGTTGTATTTATTACTAAGGGGTTCTGTGGTGTTAATCAAGGTGGTCTAGATTTCACCTTTATTCTTTTTTTATATAAACTATGTATAATAATACAGACGTTACTATACTTGTTTTTTAACCAAAACTATCTAAAATAAGTCTATTAATTTTTACTTTTTTATAAACTATCCCTTATATATTGAACTCTTGGTAAATAATCTCTTATTTTTAATAAAAGATTCGGGCTAATCCTGCAAATAATGCAAAAATTAAGTACAGAATTCTATATTTGGCATGTCTTTGATTAATTTAATTAATAAAACTTACTTATTTAAATAAGAATAAATTGTGATAATCATTTAATTATAAAATTTTACATATGTTTAGCTGTATTATATATTAGTTAATAAGGTAATGCGGACTAAGGATTTGAACCTCAATTATCTGGTCATGAGTCAGATGTGTTACCATTACACCAACCCGCTTTTTAAATAATCCATATGAGAAATAGGTGATTCGAGCACCTGACCATTCGCGTGTAAAGCGACTGCTCTACCACTGAGCTAATTTCCCTATGATCTAGGTTTTCCTATGACCCAGGAGAGATTTGAACTCTCGCTGTAACAGTGAAAGTGTTATGTCTTAACCGGACTTGACGACTGGGTCTTTTTTTTTAATTTTAAATCGTATTTTTTTAGTCTATTTTTTGTTTGACCGTTATAACAATTGAACCTACCATAGCTAATAAAAGTATTATTGAAGTTATCATCAATCATATAAAGTGACTTGTGTACATAGTATTACCTATGCTAGTTATATCTGTAACGTCTACCATATTATTATCTCAATTATGAGAACTAACATAAAATATTTGTGATTCTTGATTATCAGTAGAATATAGATTTACAATATTATCTGATTTGTTTTCAGTACCGGGTAATATATTACCTATTGGTACAAAAAAAGCTAAAAAAGTTATAATAGCTAAAGGTATATTGTTATTTGTATCACCTATAAGTTCTGAAACTCTTATATTTATAAGCATTAATATAAATAAAAACAAGATAGACACCGCACCAACATATACTAATAAATAAGATATACCAATAAATGCTAAACCTATAAATATTAAATAACAAGATATATTAGAAAATAATAAAATAAGATATAAAACCGATACTATTGGATTTTTAGTTATAACAATTAATATACCAGACACCATCGAAATTAAGGCTATTATATATAAAAAATTTACATTAAACCCATTAAAACTTTCAAAGCTAAATAAGTGTGTCATTAATAAATAAAAATAATTATCCTACATATAAATATATATAAATAAGAAATCGAAAAAAAGAAATTTACCCAGACAGGATTCATGAGAAAGATATTTTCATTTGTTTAACCCATCGAAATATGTATTTCAATTGAATAAATAAACATAAATCTCACTTGATCTAGAGTTTTACAGACTCATCCTTATTTAGTCCAGGTTTGAAACACCAATTGTTGCTAAATTAGTTTACATTTATGTGTTCATAGCCCAGTGTAAGTATTGCACTTACTTCCACCGATTACAAAACGGTAGCATTACTTTTATGCTAACCAGGCTTACCCCATTGTCACTAAGTCTGTAGGAGATTGTGTCCGTACCTAGAACAAGATATTTTCTTGTGGGGGGGGGATAATTGTATTACTTAGTAAATTATTAAATTAGTACTTTATATCTAAAAATCGCAAAATTCTTGTAACCAAAGCCTATTTTAACGTAGTGTTTTACTACGCATATAAGAATATAATAAGGTGAGTTTCGTGCTTATATGCCTTCAGCGCTTATCTTTAATTGACGTGGCTTTCTTGCCATGCATGCCATAAGTCTACCTAGGTTCTGTAGGATATTGCATCCGTAACCTAGTTCCTCCTATTTTAGTAAAAATATATTAGATAAATACTAATGGCTTACAACAAGTAAACTATAGGTCAACATACCCAATTCCTTTCGTACAAGGGGTCTGTCCTTATTTTATTCTAAATTCCTCTAGAAGATAGAAACCATACTGTCTCACGACGTATTAAACCCAACTCATGTAGCTCTTTAATCGACGAACAGTCGAACCCTTCATGATTCCTGCGTTCATGTGGATGAGCTAAGCCGACATCGAGGTGCCAAACCGCGCACTCAATTTGTACTCTCTTGCGCTCATTAGCCTGTTCAAATCTGTTAGAATAAATTATTATTTATTTCCATATCTTACAATATGGTTCAGACTATTTTATCATTTATTAATTTTTTTTCTTATTAGTTACCGCTAACTCAACCTTTTATACCAAATGAACCTATTCTTGTTTTAGATTTTAAGTTAGTATATTGTATATTTGATTTTAAATTTCCTTTTAAAATTATTGAAGAAATACCTCTAAAAGAAGAATCTAAATTTAAAAGATTTCCTTTATACTTTAGTTTAAAGACAGAACGAGACGCTGTATAACGTCTGCTTAGTCTTCCTTTAGCTTCTAATCTAAAACCAGTTGTATGTTTGTATTTAAGATTATTAATTATAATATTTCTTAATAACAATTTATTATCTATTTTTTTTTGAGTTACATCGTTTAAAAAGATTTTTTTTTTATATATTTTTACCTTATCTTTCAATTTATTAAGTATTTTACGCATTTTTCTTTTATTACGTGTTAATTTTAATTTTACACTTTCAGATAATATATCACTGTTTAAATAAAAACGTTTTAAATTAATTAGATTGAATTCCACATTTTTATTAAATAATGTTTCTAAATGTTTCTTTAATAAACGAAGATAAGTATAATTTAATTTAGATTTATTCACATATATAAGTTGTTTGTATAAAAAATATAAACGTAATTTTTTCATAGTTAAATTTAAAACATTTTTATAAAATAAACCTGTATAACTAGATAATTCTTTAAATGTTTTTATTTTATAATTTCTGTTTTTTTTACTATATCTAATATTTTTATTAATAAATATTTATCTTTGTTAATTTCACTTAAAGATTCAAAACCTTTCATTAGTATTGATCTTAAGGTTTTAATATAATTTGCATTAATATTTTTCTTTTTAGTAAAAAATTTATTTAAATATATATTTTTTAATTTAGATAAATAATTGTTTTTTTGTCTATTAAATATGTATATATTAACTAAAACACTGTTATTTTTATGTTTGAACTCACCATTACTTAAATAAATACGATTAGAAGATAATCTTCTTAATCTAAGTAATAATCTTTTAGTTCTTATGTTTTTTTCTAAACTTTTATTAAAAAGATTGAAAAAACTTTTAATAATTTTCATAGCGGTAACAGTTGTAGAAGGTATTAAACTTAAATTATTTTTATTGTAAACATATATGCTATTATTTCATTCTCTAACTGAAGACGGAAAATGTTTAGATTTTTTTTCCGAATTAAGTTTAGTTGTTTCAGTAACACTTTTTAATGATTTTTCGGATGAATTTATCATAATATAAAATAGATATTTTGTAACTATATTTTAACATTTAAATTATAGATTACAAAATTTGTTTTTAATAAAGAAAAAAAATTTTTTAAATGCTGGATTATTAGTCGTTGGGCGTTCTTTGTATTAAAACAAAGTTTCGCTTCAAATTAACTTTAAAAGTTTTTTTTTGAATTTAACCCAGTTTTAAACCATGCCGTTTGGCATGGAAGGACAATTATTATCCCTAGCGTAACTTTTTCAAAAATCCAAGACCTTTCCTTTCCGTATCTTGCGATCATATGCCCCGCTTACGCGACTGATGGACTTGTATGTCTAACAGTAAAGCAAGATTAAGCCATTAAACTTTTACAGTATTATTAAATATCATAGTATCATAATACTACAACTAAAACAATTTATATCTATAAATTGTTTTATACAACTATTCACCATATAGTTAAAATCTTACTTAAAAAAAAATATAATTGTACTTAAAACAATCATAGCTGAATAATTATATAAAAATTAATAACAAATTAAAATAAAATGTAACTAATTATTAATTACATTACGTATAAATCATACGTATTTACTATTAGAAAATTGGATATACCCAGGTACTTTTTATGGGATCTGTGCCCCGCATAAACTGTCTTCTAATCAATTGACTAGAATAAAGTAAATAAAGGTGTCTCATTGTTGTTGCATTAGGCACATAAAACAGGTACGATATTCAACGTAGAACGCTAAATATTGTACTTTTCCCTAAATAGGTAGAATCAGAGGTTTTATAATTTTATAGTAGATATAAATCTACACCTAATACCTCTACCTTATACACTTGTAATTCTTATATTTTAGCCTAAATTAGTAACAGTAAAGCTGCAAAGGGTCTTCTCGTCTAACTAGAGGTAAACAGTATCTGCACTGCTATTCCAATTTCACTGAGCCAATCATCGAGACAGCTGTTGTATCGTTACATCATTCATGCAAGACCGCATTTAACGGCCAGGGTATTCCGCTACCTTAGGACCCTCATCGGTAAGGCCGCCGTTTATCGGGGTTTCCATCCAGACCTAACCTTTTAGTTTTAAGCCCATTAGTTACCCAGCCGACACCGGGCAGACATCACACTCAATAGTTCGATATATCTTAGCAGAGTGCTTTGTTTTAATTAAACAGTCGTACAACACTATTCCATGCTTCCTCTTTCATAGGTATTTCCTTATGAGAATGGCCCACCTTATCCCGAAGTTACGTGAGTCAATTTGCCGAGTTCCTTAATGATTGATTACTCAAACGCCTTCGTATTCTCTACTAGCTTACTTGCGATAGTTTTTAGAGACGGTATTAATGTTTTTTCCAGAACTAATTTTACTTTAATTAGTTTTAAGTCTTTTAACTTCTCATCGTTAAAAAAAATTTCAATAAGTACAGTACAATTTGCTTAACATTCAGCAGATTTGTTTCTAACGAAAATTTCGTAAAAAACAACTTAATATAAGACTTCCCGTCCCCGCATTTTATGATAAAAGACAAAATTCATTATATATTCTTATATCTATACTTACAGATAATACACAAATTTTCTGTAGGGACCCTTATTCCATTTTTTTTATTTAACTTAGAGGCCGTAAATTTAAATTGCGCTCCGTGTCTCATAAGCTTAAGGCGGAAAAAAACACGACTATTAGATAAAAAAGATCGAGAACCCCCGTTCTTTTTTTATTTTCATAGTACAAATGTTTTTTTGTTCTTTTCGTTACTCATGTCAGCATTATCACTTGGATCATCTTACATTACATTTAGTCTTATAAAGAAAAAATCTTAGATTTATCCAATGTTCCGCTACCCCATAGATAATTAATTATCTATGGACAAGGTTTCGGTATATTATTTAGATCCGTTATATTTTCGGTATGATCTTCTGGTTTTATATCAGTGCTCTGTTACGAGATCTTTAAAAAATGGCCGCTTCTAAGCCTATTTCCTGATCGTGTTCAAAGACACATCCTTTATTTCACTCAACAATAATTTTGGAACCTTATTAACTCTTGTTCTGGGCTGTTTCCCTTTAGACATACAACCTTATCGTACTATGTCCGATTATTTAACATATATCTTAACCCTTCCGAGTGCAAAATCTCTCCGATAAAATCTTTACGATCCCCCGATGTATTCAAAAT